AGTGAGTTTGGGACCCCACTTAAAGATGGGGGTTGGTTGCTCCGGGAACTAACCATGAGATTAGAGGGTTAAAAGCTTCAGTCCTTCCTTCCCCTGACCCCCGACCTCCCAGGAGGGGAAGGGGTGGAGGTTGCATTTATCCACAAAGTAGTAATGAAGCCTCCATAGGACCCCAAGAGGGTGGAGGGATGGCGTTCAGAGCACTTTCAGAGGTGGAAACACGTGGAGATTTAGGGGAGGGTGGTGTGCCTGGAGAGGGCATGGAAGCCCTACACTCTTTCCCCATCCTCTGCCCTTTGCGTCTCTTCCATCTGGCTGTTCCTGAGTTGCATTCTTTTATAATAAACTGGTGATCTAGTAAGTAACATGTTACCGAGTTCTGTGAGCCACTCTAGCAAATTAACTGAACCTCAGGAGGAGGTCAGGGAAACTTACAGTCCGTCAGTCAGAAGTATAGGGAACAACCTGAATTCATGACTGGCATCTCAAGTTGGGGGTGAGGTGGGCGCAGTCCGGTAGGACTGAAGCCTTACCCTGCGGGGTCTGATGCTGTCTCTGGGTAGGTAGTATGAGCACTGAGTTGAGCCGCAGGACACCCAGTGGGAACCCAGAGCATTGTTTGCTAGTGTGGGGGAACCTCTCCCCACAGTTGGGATGGGTACCAGAATCCAAGCCCAGCAAACTCCTCGGAGTCATGGATCAGTTGCTCCAGTGCTTCTTGGTTCCTGTTCCCTGGTTTTGGACGACTGAGGAGAGCAGGGAGTGCTAACATCTGCTGGCATGTGGCACAGGACTGAGGACCCAGAGAAGGCGGCCTCTGTCACGTGCAGGGCGGCTTGAGGTGCATCAGCAAAGTGCATGCTGGCTGGCAAGGGGAAATTTTCCTCTGCCCTTCAAGGTTCCTCTTGCTGGTCTAAGAATAAACTGACATGAGACAGATTAACAGGAGAAAACCCCTGGGGTTAATTATGTGTGCAGAGGCCCAATTATGGAATTGAGACACCCTCCCCCCAAAAAATGACCAAGGCAGGCAGTTTTTATACATTTTAGACAAAGATACAATGAATCTGTGAGGAATTGACAGGACAAAGAAACCTGGTGTTTGGGAGCTTCAGTTAGTAAGGAATTCTAAACAGTATTTGGGCTGGGGTAGAGAATTAGTAAAAAAGTCACCAGATTTGTTTGTGCAGCCTCTCCACTCCAAGTTCCCTGTCTCTGCTGATGCGGGCGGCTCTCTACCCCCTGGTACATGAAAGGAGGGTTATCTTTTACAGGGGAGGGTTGTGCCCTGGTTGAGGTGTGGGAAAGGGTATGGGGACAGAAGAGGGTCAGAGTATCCCTCTTGCACTGGCTGTTTCTCTAGTCCCTTTTATTCAAAGTCATCAATATGCCAAAGTGACACATTTTGGCGCCGCCTGCCTGTGGATAAAGTGAAGGTTCCTGTGGTCAGGATTCTCACCGGGCCCTGGTTGGCCTCACTACACACGTGTGGGCAATCAACTCTCTATATAAAGAGTCCCGCCCAGCACTCTGGGCAACACGTGACAAGGCTGCAGGAGAGCAGAGCAGAGACTGGAGTGGTGGCAGCACTGAGGACAGAGACCAAGATGGCTGCGGGGGCAGAGAGGCCCGGAGGCAGAGACTGGCTTGCTGCATGGATGGGATTCTGATTGGACGGAATTCTAGTGATTGACCTGCCACCGTGGGAATAAAGTTGGGTATAAGGTATAAACCCTTTCACCCCAAGAAGGTTCCACTGTCATTTCTTTCGTCTCATTGAATCCATAGTGAACTTGCCAGGGTTGAAACTTATTGACAAGACGCTGCCCTTGGCCCTGTTAACCTTAAAAAGAAAACAGTTATTTTTTCCAGCAAGAATAGGTTTACTTGGTAATAGCAAACAATTGCCATTTGGGACAAGCAGGGACAGCAACACCATAGGCACACCCACAGCACAAAGGAGAGGACACTATTTCACAGGGGAAGGGGGCTGTTCTAAGCAAAAAGTCCATTGGAGGAAGCTGGGAGTCCCATGTATCGTGGCTTCTCATTGGCTAGGTTGTGCAGGCCTCTCATTGGCTGGCCTGCAGAGGCAGAAGGTGGAAACCTTCCTTTAGATCAAAGCTCCCAGCAGAGAAGATGCCAAGCCTTTTTCCTGGTAAGGGTGTATATCAAGCACCTAGGGTGCATGTCTCATCACACCAGGAACAGGAAGTGAAAGAGTTAAGTTTGGTATTTTATTCATCATGGATTTTTTTGCATTCATTTTGGTTTGTAAAAAATGCAGTGTTAAAATATTATTCATCTTGATTACTGCATTTCAAACTTAGAATGTTGTGCCCAAGCTTGTGCCTCGCTGGCCTCCCCCTAGTCCTGGCCCTGGTTTGGGGTGCTGAGGTGTGACTTCCAGGAAGGTCTGAAGCCTGGAACTTGAAGGGTAAGCACCACTCTGCCTTGGGCTGTAGTGTGGACTTCATGGCTTTCTTGGAGTTCTTTATAGTTCTCTTTGGTTCCATTCTGAAAATGGTACAGTGCACACTTTCCCTGGAGAAGCCTCTGTTCCACGTGCTGGGAATGCAGATATATTCAAAACCTGGTTCCTTCTTGAAAGATTAATATCTAGTGGGGATGGGGCAGGAAGCAAGACTGTGCCCTGCTGCTATCATTTCGTGGTAAGTGCGCTGTCAGAGCTGAGCCCTATTTAAAAACAAAATTCAACTGAGTAAATTTGAAGATCTAATTGGCTTTATTAAGCTATTCACGAATCGAGCATCATCCTATTTAGCAAGTAGAGAGATGACTCTCAGCAATTGTACAAAAAGGAAGATTTTTATAGGAAAGAGGGTGGGGCAGGAAGTTATTAGCAAAAGAAAAGAAAGGATTGTTTCAGGTATGGTTGCCCTCCTTTGGGGGAAGATGAGGGGACTTCAGCAAACAGATTTGAAGGAGGTTGAAAATGCACTTAGTCTAGGCCTTAAGCCCGGGTTTGGTGACTGGCTCAGCACAAGGGACTCACTCTTGTTAACAGCCCAGAGTGATGGGGAGGCAGAAGGGACCCCAAACCCAGCTTGTGGGTAGGCTGCGAATCTTATGGGAGCACAGTGCACTTGAAGGATGAGCTGGCATTGCCCAGGCTCCAGGAAGAGGGGATGATCAGAAGTACAGGAGCAAGAAACTACATGGTCTGAGCAGGAAATCACACGTAATTCCATGTTGCTGGTACATAGATTTTGGGCAGGTGTGTTGTAATGAAGTTGGAGAGAGAAGCAGGACAAGATCCTAAGGAGCTTTGGGAACCCTGTTAATGAGCTGTGACTTTATCTTATATGTGATGGGGATTGATTGAGGTCTTTGAAGCAGATGAGGAACATGAGACTTACTAATGGGAAAATTAAAACTTTACCTTAAATAACAAAGCTTAGGGTTTCCTTTCCTCCACATCTTTGCCAGTATTTGTCTCTTGTCTTCTTGATAAAAGCCATCATAGCAGGTGTGAGGTGTCTCCTTGTGGTTTTGATTTGCATTTCCCTGATTAGCGATGTTGAGCATCTTTTCATATACTAATTGGCCATGTGTATGTCTTTTGGAAAACGTCTGTTCAGGCTCACTGCTCATTTTTAAATTAGCCATTTGCTTTTTTGCCATGGAATTATATGAGTTCTTTATTTAGTTTTGGATCTTAGTTCCTTATCAGATAGGTGGTTGGCAAATATTTCTCCTATTCTGTAGGTTGTCATTTCTATGTATTGATTATTCCCTCTGCTGTGCAGAAGCGCCGCACTTTAGTTTAATGTAGTCCCACGTGTTTATTTTCGTTTTTCTGCCTGTGCTTTGGTGTCTGAACTAAGACCTAACAGATTGCCAGGACCAACGTCATGTATTTTTTCCCCCTGTGATTTCTTCTAGGAGCTTTATGGACCCAGGTCTTAACATTTATATCTTTGATCCATTTTAGGTTAATTTTTGTGAATAGTATAAGATAGGACTCCTGGGTATATATCCAAAGGAATTGAAATCGATATCTCAAATAGGTATCTGCACATTAATGTTCCCTCGCAGCATTTTTCACAATAGCCAAGATATGGAAACAACCTGAGTGTCTGTCAGCAGATGAATGGATAAAGTACACACACACACACACACACACACTGGAATATTGTTCATCCACGACAGAGAGAAATACTGCCATTTACAACAGATAGAACTTGCGCACATTATTTGGAGAGAAGTCAAACAGAGAAAGACAAATACCGTATGATAGCACCTATATACGGAATCTAAAAAAGCTGAACTTGTAAAACCAGAGAGTAGAATGGTGGTTATCAAGGTCTGAGAGTGGTGCTAATGGGGAGATGGTGTGTAAGGGCATAAACTTACAATTCATAGGTAAATAAGTTCTTGAGATCTCAAAAAAAAATTAGCATACTAGTGCAATGACCAGTGGCCTGATTTTGGGACCAGGGCTCCCTCTCTGAGCCTCAGTGCCCTCTTCTGTATAACACAGGGAAGAGTGCTAGGCATTGCAAGGATCCTGTAGAGCATTTACACTATGGGATTTGGTACCACCCTAGGTTTCTCTTGAAAAAATAAAAATTCATTCTTACTACTGGGAGAAGTCTTTGCATCAGAACCTTTAATGGATTTCTGTTTCTGCTTTCTGCCCTGCGTAAAACAGTCCTGCTGAAATAACTGAGAACTCTACTACCTTGGCCCACCAAGCCCTGTTCATTGCTGTTTCTGCATGAATCACCAGTGCTTGTTCTTCTACCCAGCTTCCTCTTGTTACTACAACACGGTTCTCCAAGGAGGGGTCCTGAAGGCGAAATACGGAGGCAGAGCCCCTGGGATGTTCATCGCAGTGTCATTATTTAAATGAGCCCTTCAACCGTTTTTTTTCTCTCAAGGGCAGCCGGCACCCCTGTTCCCATGTGCACCCCGACCTCGCCACCTCCCTCCTCTCACGCTCCTTCTGAGAGGCGGCTTCTGTGTTTCCCTTGCAGAGCTCCTCTGACAGGCAGTCCGTCCTAAGCATCCTCCAGGTCCTCGGAGATCTGCTGTCTGTTGGTAAGTGGCCAGGGCTCATCCCCCTCAGGGTGGACACGAGGCCCCGGGGGGCTGCTGTGCAGGTTTTCGGTGCGAGACAGAAACTCCAGCCCATCTTTATTCACTGAGGTTGTTAAGACCAGGAGTAAACTGGGTTGACTGTCTTGTCACCCATTCCACAGTGACCCCAAAGTTAGGAGGAAATCAGACTCTGGGCCGTTATTCTGTGGTGCCTTATTTATGAGGTGAAGGACCTGTGGGGGTCTGTGGCCCTCCTCAGAGAGAGCTAGCCCTCAGCAATTTTACCCCCTGCCCTCTGCTCCCCTCCACCAAGGCTCATCTACAGAGCCATGTATTGACGGCCTCTTACATATGTCAAGTGGACACAGGAATGAGGGGTCTGAGCCGGACTGAGCAGTGCAGTAAGTCATCAATTTTCCAGAGATAAGATGACAGGAGTTGTACATCAGAATCAACTGAGTTAATGGGGTCATGCCTCTGTTAGCTCATTTCCATGTTAGGGTCCTGGAAAATATATCCCAGACAGCTCAACATTCACTCAATGTTCATGTCTATGTGTATGAGCCACATTGCATTAGAAAGAATTATTAACAGCAAATGGACGATACCAAAATGAATGTCCCTCCAAAGCCACGGGGCCTCAGATTGGGGTTTCAGGAGGAAGGGGCCAGGCATATTGAGGTTTTCCCATAGGCTGTGCTGCCCTCCAATGGCAGGGCGGCTTCCCTGCAGCCTTCGCGGGGAGGTAGCTTCTGTAGGTGAAGCCACTTGTCTTCTGGGGTGGCGCCACCTTCAACCAGAGTGAGACCTTGGAGTTATCCTTCTGATTGTTGCTCCTTTAGTAGGATGAAGTATCAGAGCATCTTCTTTGCTGATAATGCCCTAGGCCTGTTGGCCTCCTTGGTTAGGTAAACCAGGCCAGTGCATAGAGAATCACCTCAGTCCCCTTTCAAGGTGAAATCTAATCACCTCCTTTGAACTTGTCCTGGGGCAAGGTGGGGGAGGTCCCTGTTCAGCACTCTTCTTAGGTAGAAAGCCCAATATACTTTATCCTAGCCACAGACCCTCCTCAAAACTCCTTCAATAGGATGATTGGACATTTGTTTCTCAAAGGATTACTCTAGTCATTTCCATATTTTCCTCCCATTAGTTCCCAAAGGCCAAAAAATCGTTACACTGTCAATAAAATTATTCCAGAGAAGCTATGATACCAGTCCCTCTTACGGATGATTCAAAGCTATGAAAGAGGGATACTGAGATTCCCTCTTGTACTAGGTACGTGATTATATGTGAGCCTGTATGCATATTCACATATATGCTCTTGCAAGTACACACATACAGTGCAACTCAAGAGGATCTCAGTAAAGTGGATTCTAGGCTCCATTTATTGCAGCTGCTGCAGGTGAAGACACCTATGTTCTTAAGCACTCCATTTTTTTCTCTATTTAATGCAATACCCTCCCTACCCCAACCCTGGTTCTTCGCCTAAGAGCACAACTTTACACAAGTTGCTTCAAGAACTACCCAGTTTTGGTTTCTGGGGGTGAAACGAACCAACCCTTGCTCTGTCTGTAGCTGCAAAGTCTGCTTTCTGAGGAAAATGGGGGTGGTCATGTGTGGCTTGGCTCTCCTCTGCTTCTCATCAGGCACAGACAAGAGGATTCGCTACATGGTCAGCAAGGGCGGCAGCGAAGCCCTTCTGCAGACCCTGGTGGACACAGCGAGGACAGCTTCTCCAGACTATGACGTCCTTCTGCCACTCTTCCGACTCTTGGCCAAAGTTGGCCTACGAGGTACCTAGACCCCAGGCCCTGAAGATGACTGCACCTCTGGGGTAGTTCTCATGAGAGCGGTGCTCTTTCAGGGAAGCCCAGGGCAGGAAGAACAGGCGGATCCTGGGCACTGGTGGTGGTGGCAGGGTGAGCCCTGTGGGAGGGGCAGTTTCATTGTCTTAGAGATCAGCAATCCAAGGTATGGTGCGTAGGACGAGGCCCAGAGCAGGCATGTGCTATGTGCAACGAGCCCACGGGGCATGTAGGGGGCATTGGGGGATGCTCTAGAGCAGTTTTCATCACTGAAACAGGACATTTCCACAGATAGTATTTTACATGGAAGTTCACTTATGTAAGTACATTTATTTCCTGGGGCTGCTCTAATAAGTCACTACAGACCTTGTGGCTTTAAACACCAGAGATGTATTCGCTCACAGTTCTGGGGCCAGAAGTCCGAGATCACGGGGGTGGCAGGGTGGGTCCCTTCTGGAGGCTCTGAGGGAGATCTCGCTTCCATGCATCCCTCCTAGATTCTCTTTGTTTCCAGCAATCCATGGTGTTTCTTGACCTACAGACACGTCACCCCCACGTCCGCTCAGTCTGTACGTGGCAGCCTACTCTGTGTGTCTTTGTGTCTGCTCCGCTTCTTATAAGGACACTGGATGTAGGGCCCCCCAAATCTGTATGACCTTATTCTCACTAATTAAATCTGCAAAGACCCTATTTCCAAATAAGATAACATTCTGAGGTTCCAGGAAGACATGAATTTTGGGGGGATGGTTTTTGACCCACTGCTATAAGTCACATAGAAGTAGAGCTTCCCCAGTGGAAGGGAAGATGGAAGCCTAGGATTTTGTCCACATATGCTCCATATTCACATCTTTTTCCTCAGAGAAGGCCCTGAAACACCTAGCTAAGATCCTTGGAGTTCTTGGAGCACAGGTTAAATAGTCTGGGTGCCCAGGATGCACATAACACTGCAAATTAGTCATAACAGCTAAGCCACAATGGTGTGCAGTCTTATGTAAGTCACAGCGGAGAAGCTCAGGTCCTATGAAAGGTGGACCTTTGACGTTCATGCAGGTGGGCAACCAGGGACAAAGGAGCTGGGGGAACTCTTTCTTATCAATGTTTGGACTCCTGCTTTGAGTCCATTCGGCATTTTACAAGTAATGACTGAGACCCAGACATCAGCCAACGTCCACACAAGTGTGTTCCAGACAAAACCAGTAAGTCTCATTCACTGAGTATTCAACAGATATTTGCTCCATGTCTCCTAGAGCTGGATGCTATTCTGTGCACAGGGCACACCACAGTGACCAAGACAGGTAAGGGCCCTGCTCTCATAGATATTACATTCAAGTGGGGAAGGGTAGAACATCAATAATTAGCCAGGTGATAACAGACAATGACAACTAAGTAGGTAATCGTTGGAAGGGAAAGAAAGGCTGATGGTCCCTCAAGGTGGCGTGGTCAGGGAGAGGTGACATTTGAGCCCAAACTAGAAAGAAGAGAGGTCAGCATAGCAAAGAATGGGCCAATGACCTCCAGGAAAAGACCGAAGACACGACATATACCCTGGTTGTAAATGGTTCAAACTGGGAAGTTAGGTCTGGGTTTTATTAGCCATGTGACCTTCGACCTTCAGCAAGGTCAATGCTGAAGCACTGGGCCCTCAAGTACAAAATGGAGGTAGCAGCACTTCATTCTAGGGTTGTGGCAAGGATCAAGTGAGGTTGCATGCCACCTGCTTAGCCTGAGAGACCAGAGACCTGACAAACGAGGGTCATGCAGGTTTCATAGGAGCAAGTGGGCAGAGGGACATATGAAGGCAGCGATTTCCAAGTTAGGGACTTTGGTATGACTGTTGTCACATTACATCATCAGAGCTCCTGCCACCAAGAGATGGTAGTCCTCGACACTGACGTTCAAGCCGTCAATGGCTGACCTGAACGCAACAGAACTGAGGTTGGTGGCTCATGAATGGAGCCGGATAGATACCTTTTTTCTGACAAAAGGAATGGGTCATAGGAGTTTAGTCACAATCTCCTGTGTCATTGGGTCCAGAGATACATATTGGTAGACCGGGTTTTGGATATTGACTCTGTTTTACTCATTTTACCTGCAGTGAATATGATAGTGATTTATTCATTGCAGGTGAAAATGATCCTAGAAACTAAGATCCGAGAACTTCTTGGGGCACAGTTGGAACAGCTTGGGTGCTCAGGATGCATATAAACACTGCCGACTAGTCATAACAACTAAACCCCAATTGTGTGCAGTCTTATACAAGTCACACTCGAGAAGTTCAAACGTGCAAATACACAAACAAGCATGACAATTTGGGCATTGTGGTTTGGGAAGGGCACAAAAAGTGTGACACATGGCAGAGTCGCCTGTTAATCATAGTGGGAGCCAGGAAGACCGAATAATAGGTAATTTCCCCTTATTTCTTATGCTTATATACTGATTATGAAATAATGACTTAGCTGCAACACTAAAATGAGTATTGCAACAAAAATATTTGGGTCAATAGCTCAGCGAAATCTGGGGAGGAAATTTCCTTGTCTTAAATTATGTTTTTACTCTCTATTATAAAGTTCTCTATCATACACAAAGATGACCTTTTATACACCTATTTACTTAGATCTAACCTTTGTTAACATTGTACCATATTTCTTGAACCTATTTATTTTTATCTGATATGTTTAAAGGAAAATTGCAGATAGAATTTTGTTCTTAAATATGTTTGGGTGCATTTCTTTGAAAAGAGACCTATTCCTGTAAAACCCCAACATCATGATTACAGATCTCACAAAATTAATAATACATGCATAATTTAAACTCATTCCTGTTTCTCCAAATGCTCCCAACATGTCATTTACAAACATGTTCTAAGAAGGATCCAGCCAAGGTCCATACACATGGCATTTGAATGTCATATAACTTAAGTATCCTGAATGCTAGAACTGTCTTAAAAGAAGAAATTTATACCCTACGGGGCTGTAGTTCATGTTTAGAACAACCAGAACTATCCTAATCTTTAAGAGATACAAGTCACACAACCCAGAAGACTTCATGTAATTATGCCTGGAAGAATAATAGCACCCTGATTAGCTTTTCTGAGCCACCTGCTTCCAATGGGAACCTATTTAGTAACATTTTCTGTTAGATCTGAAGTTTCACTGGCCAAGATTATCCTTCTCCTCTACCATCTTTGCTTTCCTCTCCCGCACACGTGTACAGTCTTCACAATGAATGTGCAGCACAACTAAACTGGATTGCTTTGTATTCATAGATAAAAAGTTTGGACAGAAGGCGCTGGAGTTGGAAGCACTTGACGTGACGTTGATCCTGGCCAGGAAAAACCTGTCCCACAGCCAGAACCTCCTCCACTGTCTCTGGACTCTGCGTGTGTTCGCCACCAGTGGTAAGTGACTCAACTTGTGGCTCTCTGGGCTGGCTTCCAGACCTGGGCTGGGACACCTGGAAACCATTTGGGGGTATGGTTGGAAGGAGGGCGGGGGTGGAGGACACATGTGGTCCCAACAAGGTAAATAAACCACGAGGAGCCCTCACGTTCTAGAGGACATAGAAATGAGAAGTTATTTCTTGATCTGCTCGGCCAGATAGAATTCTTGAGCCTGTTGTTCTTGCAAACCAGACCTTATCATATTTTTGACCTCTATTACTACCAGAAGGTGAAAAAGACCTGTGAGAGGGGAGGGAAAATTTTATTCAGTCCTATCATATTTGCCGCACGGGGTGATGTGTTGCACCTGTCAAGGGAGCCTCTTACATCATAAATCTCCCCACTGTGTCTCTGCAGCAACTCATGGATCACAGGATCCTTTACCAATTTCATCTCACAGTGCTTCTCAACATAGTCCTTCAGTAACTAGATATATCATAGCACAGGAGCTGATAGCTACTTGCCATCTCCTGATTTGGATTATTTCTGCTTATCATAACAATTCTGTATTTAGACTTACCTTCTTATAGCTAAGCAAAAGCGAGTGAAGCTTGAAAGAGTGGAGTAATTGCTCGAGTTCATACAGATACGTCACGGCGGCTTAGTTTCTAACTCCAAACCTCATGTTCTGTTTTCCATATGGATACGATTCTCATTAATAGATGAGATTCTATCCCTCCTATCTCACATATAATGAACAAATCTCCCAGATAATGAACACAGGCTTTATTTCTTCTTTCTGAACCCCTTTCCTGCAGAATGAAAATGGTAATTATTTAGATGCAATGCTTTCTAGAGAGAAGAACATGGGCCAAGAACCAGGAAGACCTGGGTTTGACTTTGATTTCATTTCTTAAGGGTCATGTGACATGGACACCTCACCTGTTTAATCTCAGTTGCTTCCTTTATAAAATTATAGTGGCATTTACAGCAGGTAGACTTGGCAGATAGGGTCAGTAAGGTAATGTTCACTGTATGCTCTTTACATGCTTGTTGCTCATAAGTGTTAGTTTCCCTTCTCTGCTTGACTCTTTTACCTTAGTCCTTTGACATAACAGGAAGAGCATACCTAAGTAGAGTAAGTAGATGACTTTTTTCCTAACTCTCTTCAGAACTACTAAAATAGTAAGGACATTGTTCATTGGTTAATTCCATCAATATGCATGGAGGACTCAGACAGAGAAAGTACTTCAAGGGAAAGACAAGATATATTCTTGACTCCATGTTCACAGAGGGAATCTCCACTCATACTCATGTATGTTGACCGGAAAATCAGAGTGTCTAGGAGAGGTTGAAAGTGTTGGTACAAACCATCTCCAGTAAAGGAAAACCTCAGTGAGGAGCTATGGCTTTGCATAAAGGACAAGAATCATTCATGAGAAGCTAGGGGGTGTGCACCCCAATTTTGAGCTTTCCATCAGCCCAAGATTTGAAGTGTCTCATTCTGGTTTCCTAAAGAATAACTAGACTGAATAACCCAGCTTTCTTGTTATATATTTTGATTATAGAGATCTTGAGGGCTTCCTTCAGCAGGGAGCTCTGAAACATCTGGGATTTGCCTATGGGTGTGAGGAGGTGGCCATTTGTCTCATTTTCTAAGACTACATTTATTGTGCCAATCATTGGTCTCAAAGATGTTTAAAAGATTATACTGTCACTCTCTGTACATTGAGTTTGCTGATGAGGAGCAAGCAGAGATCGCGAAGCCTACGGAATGCCGTCTCTTTGGTGAATTGTTAGCCACTGTTGAACATTTCAGCCAGCTTTGTGAATGGCTCTTATCTGTAGAAGGACTTGGCTGGGACCCTCATGGGTCTGTGACAGCCAGTGTGCCCCTTGGCAGCTCTCACATGGCCAGGGGGGTGTTTATAAAGCTGCCAGAGGTCTAACCTTGGGCAGGCATTCAACAAGGAAGAGCTCTAAGTATTCCTATGGTTATTCCCTCCCAATTCCAAGTCTAAAGCCTTCCATGCTAGAACCCATGCTCTTAAAACTATCTCCTCCCTAACTCTACTTAATATTAGAGTTTTGCTGAATTATTTGCCAAGAGATGGCTCTGGCATACTTTCCTAATTTACAAGTAAGAACTGAATGAGTAGCCAGTAGACGAGTGATTGACAGACAGGACTAAGATGCCAAGCCCCTGAATTCTGATTCAGGCAGTTACTGCCTATATTAGCCTCAGGAGGGGCATATGCATGGAGCATGTTCCAGGAGCGTGCAGTCCTTGTCGTACCTAAGACATCAGCCTCAGTCTGTCTCTGGCGGACTGTACTGGGATGAACCACATGACAGCCTCTGGATTTTCCTTTATACTCCTTTCCTGAGGCTTGGGGAGCAAGCTAGTATAAGCCTCCCTTGCTTCCCTCTGCTTCTCCATCCCCTTATTCCCACTCCTACTTCCTGGAACAAAGATGGCCCAAAGCACAAGGCATTTCTAGATCTTTGTTTTACCACAACAATGCAGGAGAGGAGAGACAAAAGAAAGAAGAGTCCCACCAAGGAATATAACCTTCTTTTCTTCTCCCACTGAAACTTTTGCCCTCTGCCAAACCGATTCCATTTTGTATCTGTGGATTCCTTTTATATTTTGACATGACCTGAGGTACTTGTAAACTGAACTGAATGGACTGGGAATATTGTAGAGAGTCTAGGGCTTCACTGAAGATGACAGTGGCATCCACAGATGAATACTTACCTGAAGCCACAGGGTTGACCAAATACCCCTTCGAGTTACTTTCTATCTTTGAGGTCTTTGGCTATACTTTATAACCATACAACTGGACAAAAAGGCAAAAAAATTTCCCAGGTTAGTTGCCTGTGAGTAGGAAGAACTGATTCATCCTTTGACATTCTAATAGATAGAGGCATGGTCAGCTCTTAGCCTCAGTCATGGGAGAGAGATCCAAGCACAAAAGTTGTTAGGGGAGGGAGCTCTTTTCTTTGTTTGGTTGCCCCTTAAAGTTCTAAAGGAGTCAGTCCATGTTGTGTTGAACTTGACCCATCCCCTGGGGTTAGGTTCTTCACAGTGAAGTCTCCCAATGGCAGACTATGTTTAAGCAAGTGTTTTGTAACTGGCTGTGCGTGTTACGTGTGTGCAGGTATGGATGTGTGCATGCATGTATGCCATCTGGGAAATTGGTGCTGCTGGGTGGAACAGCTTGAATTGAAGTCAGTGCCAGAAACCCAAAGATCTACTTACAAATCATCATCTGCTTGGTTCTTGCCTTGGCTATTCTGATGAAGAATCCAATGGGGAGGTGTGGTGGGCCTTCAAAAAATGAAAAACATATGTTCATGGTTGGGACCCTCTTTGAAAAGAAGAGAGGGGGAGAAGATGATGTGTGCTTTTCAGGTGATCTTTACTTCCAAGCAAGGGATGAAAACAACCAGTTTCTCTGTTTTAAGTTGCCTTTGGCAGGGAAGGTGATGGACCTCCCCTCTCTTTGATGCTTACTTACTCTGTTAATGCTGGAAATGATGGTACAGACGGTTCAATAACGGTGTATGTCTGTCTTTCTCAGTCACCACGGCAGCCATGCTGGGAATTAATGGAGCAATGGAACTGCTTTTCAAGGTCATCACCCCCTACACGCAGAAGCGCACCCGAATAATGAGGTACAGAGCCCTTTTCTAGTACTTTCTTTGCAGTAGATGCAGAGGCAGAGATGGCTTTATGTACATTCTCAAGATGCTTCCAGGTAACTTGAGTGATGCCGTCTTCATACATATGATACAATGACTTGGGAGTTTGATTCCAGATCTTTCTCACTCAAAAGCCCATGGTTTTTTTTTTTTTGCCTGAAGCCTTCAGGTAACCCTTTCATTCAGAGCAACTCTACCATCATGAGTCTAGTCCTTATAAGACAGTCCTGAAGTGACTGGTAAGTTGATGCTCATCAGGGTCTCTAAAGAGTCAGCCGGGTAAAGTTCTAATATGAAATCTGGGCTTTGTGCTAGTCCATCACTGTTGCGTGCTAGTTTTGAGATGTATTTTTATGATTGGAAAATGAAACTCAGCCCATTTTCTCAGGCCCTGCTTGCTGGAGTGGAGTGAATCACAAACTTAAAAAGGGAGATGGCTAGATATGAAGGAGATCTTTGGAACCAGTAAGATCCATCATTTTATGGGAGTGACTCAGTGAGGACCTTGAACGAATATTAGGAAAAATCCAGCCAATTTCCAGGACGTATGGGGTTATTTGGCAAAGTAGCATTTCTATGCCCAGCCACGAGATTTTCTGTATCTCACCATCAATCTTCATCTCTTGTTCCACCTGATTATTTTTCTCTTGGGTCACTACAGTAATGCCATTATCATCCATTCTCACCTGCAGCTTTCTACACCAGCATTTCCTGGAGTGAAATGCATTGTGTATCAGTGAAAAAACTTTTGTTGTCTAATATGTTGAGAAGTATTAGGTTAAAACCAAGTTAGGTCCATGTTTTTACCGTTAGCCTTCTCAGAGCCTTTGGAAAGCCAACTCTTCTCCAGAATATCCCAGATGGGTGTGTGGTGATACCTTATTCTAAAACTGACTTGGCCAGGGAACAATTTTTATTTTGGAGACCACCATTTTGGGGGACAGGGTACCATGTATCTCATTTCAGCCACCCCTCCTGTAGAGAGCAAATGTGTTGTGAAACGGGATTCAATTGAATTATACCAAGGGATCCTTATCTAGTAAGTATAAAACCATCACAGTCATAAACTTGGTGACCACAACAAAAATTAGTTTCCTGATTTTTTTTGAGATTATACTGTATTTCCATCTTAAACTTCCACTTATGTCCATTTGGATATGTCTCATTTTTATCATTGTGTGAAGGTCTTTGTTGCTGACCCCTGTAGTCTTAACATGTCCTTCGGTCACCAATCTGTGCACTTTAGCTTTTTGGCTTATTCAGAAGGCCTCTTCTACTCTGCTCTGTTTCCATTCCTGTTTGGCAGCTCGGGAGTATGTGGTTGCTTCCCCTGCATTATGTGAAGGTCTGTGTGATGTCGGCTGGGCTCATCCACATACAAGTCTCACTCAGTCATTCCTTCTCTGCCACTTGGGTGCCCCGTTGTTTGCAGGATGTCTTTAGGAAGCCCCTCCCAGTTAACCTCGGCGCCAGCCCCTCCCTTCTGGGCTTCTGGTAACTTTGATCGTCTTCCCCATTCAGACTGAGCAGGGTGAGAATAAGCTGCGAAGCCCAGAGCCCCCTTCTCAGAGACACGTGCTGGTCGTTGTCTCTGCTGCTCTTTCTCTACTGCAGAAGGGAGTTGAATTCAGGCACAGACCCGATCAAGGTGCCCCGGGAAAATGGGAAAGTAATACCACGGAGTACCGGGGTGGATGTTTCCAACGACAAAAAGAGCTTTTAGGGACCTCAGGCATATTTCTGCATTTCTGACCTGTTGTATAACATTTGGGCAAGACGATTCCTCTTCTTGAGCTGAATGCCAAATTAAAACCAAACCTCCACAGAGGAGAGTGGTTGTTTTCCAACCATTACAGCATGGCTATCATTGTTGTGACATTTATTATGTGCCCGGCCCCATACTAAGCGCTCAGCATGCATTATCTCATTTGATCCTCGCCTCTGCAAGGCAGGTGCTATTACTGTCCCCAATTTTATAAGGAAAAATATGGCAGCTGAAAGAAGTTAAGTGATATGTTGGGATTTAAGTGAAAGAGCTGGGACTTAAACCCTGTTTGATACATGAGCCTTAGCTCTTAAATCACCACTGAGTATCTTATACAGTCTATTTCCAGCATTTTATTTCTAAACCACCATATGTAAGATAATCATAAGCAGTTAAAGTTTGTTTAAATTTCTGTTACTGTCTAAATGGCTTATACTCATGGAGCAATTTGCTTAATGATAGGGGAGACTTCCTCCTCAATCCAATGGCTATTTCCTCTCAAAGGCTAAATAAATGTCTACTCCCTCCACTTCTGAATTCTTTCCCAAAGCTGCCTTGCTTCCTACTTTACCTCCAGCTCCCAACAGCGAGATAAGAACAAAGGGGCTGTGTAGCCCTCTTTCTAGCAGATTCCTTGGCCAGTCATTGAACCTTTTCCTTAACTGAAATTTCACATTTCCTGAAGTGTGAATGTCAAGTCCTACCTCCTAGGTTTGTTTGTGGGCATTAATAAATAGTGTGTAAACATTTTGTAAGCCTTGATATGCTATGATATTATTAATCATTATTAATACAAATACTAACGGATACTTGGCTGCCTGTTTTAGATCAGACAGTAGAGCTGGAGGAGAAAATGCAGATGGGGAGTTTGGGCAGTACTCACCTTCTCCCGTGACCCCTGTCCCCCCACTGAGATGCCTCCAAATGAGTTCTGCCCCACTCCATGTGGATGCCAGAACCTGTGGGTTTGAACGGGTCTTCCAGGAAAGGCATGAAGTGCCATGTCAGGGGACACGAACACCCCTGCTGAGTGTCATCCTCTAACCAGTAGCAGGCTAGGGGAGAGTTATTCTGGGATGCCTCTGTAGGAGCAGACGCCCACTGTCAAGCCACTGTGACTCCTTCCTGCCCTGGAGATGAAACCTGCCCCACTTCTCCAGCACGAACCTAAATTTAGTTGTCCTTCCACGAAACCCTGTCTCCAGATAGTACTGAGGGCAATATTTATGATGGATGCACCAACGAGACCCCTAGAGAGAAGGGGCAGGCAGAGCGACATCATTAGCTCGCGGTGCCTTTGTGCTAGCCCTCGCTCCCAGGACAGGCGGCTGTCCCAGGCCTCCCTCAGTTCCCAAATATCCACCATGCTGGAAGTTTTTCTGTCCTAGATTTCTCTCTCCCCTCACCCATCACCTCGGTCTGAGCAGTTTTTGTCAGACTGAGACGTGTTCCTATGCCTTCTCTCTTGGTCTTCCCTGATTGCAAAGAAATCAAGACTGTGTTCCAAGCTCCATTTCCCTCCTTACCTTGTTTTCCTCCCCTCATCCCTCTTTCCAGCCAACTGTCTCGGCATGCAGTGTGCCGTGTTATGCTCCAGGTCTTTCCTATGCACTTCTCTTCCACTGGAACAGTGGGGGTCCGCCCAGTTTGGGGGCTCCGCCTTACATTACAGCTCCACCTTACTGCACCAACTCACCAGACAGAAGGAATCCTCTCCTCAGTGTTTCTCCAGCACCGTGTTCATATTTCCTTGAACAAATGTCAGGTTTAACTCTGTACTCGGTTGGCCTGTGTGTCTTCTCTTCCCTCTAAATTCCAAACTTCCTGCAGTAGAAACCAAAGTATATTGATTCTTCAGAGGGCCTACCCAAGTGCCTGGGCTATGGTAGGCTTTTCAATCAATTCAAAAGAAATTCTTAGATTGAAAAATTTGTGAATTTACCTATCTAATGGTGAATAAAAGCTAGCATTTACTGAGCATGTGCTACAGTGGACACTTCATATTTATTTGCTACAGTGGACACTTCATGTTTATTACCGTGTTCTTCCTTGATCCAAGCTGACTCCGCATGGGAGTTCCATTGTGTCTAAACATGTCCGGGAGATGCTGATATGGCCAGCCTACTGAACACTCTATTGGGTGAGGGACTGAAGTACCTTCTGGCAGAGAACTCATTCTAAGAGTGAGAGACAGCAACCATCAGCTGGAGAGATCAAAGTCTCACTCACGGGAGGGAAGGAGAAACTTGGTGTCTTTTGTCTCTCACTTAGAATTGTCTGGGGAATGGGCTGAGATTGGCAGAAGGGACAGATCTGAGTTTGAGGGGATGTGAGAGGCAGCATTCACATGGAAACTTTGCTTACTGTTTGAGACAAGCGTCCAGTGTCTGGCTTGGTGAATGATTCAGCTGAGGCTTTAGAATTTATGAGGGAGCTTTATATAGAACTCAGAAGAGAGAAATGACCCCAGGCCAGGGTGAGCTATGCTCTTGCTAGCTTGTTCTACTTGCAGACAGGTTTGTTTATCTGCACCAAAGCCGCTTTTGAGCTGTCCAAAAAAATAAGTAGGAAAATTTATTGAGGCAGCGATGGATTGCCTGTCTGTGACTGACTCATCCTGTGACCTTAGAAAAGCTTGTGTTTGTTCCAGGTCTGAATGCCTTCTGCTGGGAGCTGTACATTTGTTACATCATCTCCAGGACAGGCCTGCGAGTTTTGGTAGTAATCATGGCCATGTTTACAGCCTGCCTGACAATTTCCAAAGCATTGATCCTGTTGGGTCTTCATACCATGCTAGTTGACCCAGCCTTTGAAGCCGAGTTCAGCTCTTATCACTGGTGGGTGTGTCTCCAGTTCTTTCAACTCTGCTGGCTTCCTTGTCTCAAAAACACATCCATCAGTCAGAAATGGGTTGAGGTTTCCTGGCAGAGGCTGGTCCTTTAACACCACTGCATTCCCTGACTATTGCACCACACTTTGAAAAAGGGAACTCAAGACTGTTGGCAGGCGGAGGTGGTTCCTTTATCCCTCACCTTTGATTTCTCTGGAGCATCTCCAAGAACACAGGAGGTGAGGAAGTGTGTGTTCAGGGCCATGCCGGCCTCCCCCTTGCAGAGGAGACAGGTCCTGCAGGCTCACGGCTCCCTCAAAGTCCTCAAGCTTTCAGCAAGTTCTCGTGCTGTGATTGACACTGTTCAGGCTCAGGGGC